AGTCTTTAAAATGTCTCGTTGATAGTGAACCTGTGCCAAAGGTTTGACCGGATAGACATTAGTAAAGAGATAGAAGAGAGGGTTTACTAGAAGAATTGAGGGATACAACAATTGATATAAGGAGGATAGTGCAAGACCATGATATATTGTTAAAAGGTAGAGATCAGGGTGACAGAAGGGAAGATCAAGGTAGACTTGTGTAAGAAGAAGCTCACAGCAGACCTGAGCCATCTCAGGGTTCGAGTAGTAGACAAATAGTTAGGGCTAATATAGATCTATCCATAAATCAAGCTTGGAAAGCATGAAAAGTTTTTGCCAAAGAGACCCTCTTGAGTTTGAACATCCAACATCATTCTTTGCATTATAAGTTATCCACTCTTGTGTTGAACCCTAGTTTTAAAGATTATCAAATAAACAAAAGATTATATTTTACAAGTTAATTAATGACAATTGAATAAGGGTAAGATAACTGGTTGAGCATTTTAAATGAATCTAACCTAAAGTGACTTAGTATCGATACCTTAAATCTATTTCAAGTCTCTTGTCACAAAAATGTTTTTTAAAATCCTGACTTAGTTAAATATTTGATTTAACTATATATCTTTTGGATCCTTAAATATTCATATAGGAAAGCTAAATCTCTTGTCTAAATTCACTTTCTGAGACTTTTTTTCCTAAGTGTATTTAACATCGATGCTATTCATTTATCTCTATCAAAATACCTTTCAATATTAAGTTAGCAATGGTACTAATTTGTTAGCACCATTACTATTATCATTTTAACACCAGTACTATGTGACAACACCTATGCTATTTCAACTTCTTCAAAATTTCTCATTATCCTGTTGCCAAGTTTCTCTATTTAACACTAATGCTAGCTAGTTGATAGCATTGGTGTTGTTTCTCTAGCCTGCTCTTTCGAAGTGTTCTTTAACACCTATGCTATTTTGTTGGCACCTGTATTATCAATCTTCCTTAAGAAAGCCATTATGTTCTCTTAAATTGAAAAGATCATCGTCTTTTATGAAGAAACTTTATTCTGGTACTAACAAAGCAATACCTGTGCTATTTTCCTTATGCTGTCATTGTTTCTCATTATAGTATTGGTACTAAATCCAAATAGCATTGGTACTAAGATGATAATTCATGCTCTGTTTTATGGTCTCAATATTAATCTCTTTGAAACACATTTCTTAACTATTCTTTTCAACTGCAATCAATTGTTTTCACTTTATAATCTTCTTAGAATCTATCTAAATATAATTATTGCTTGGTTCAAACACTTTATGAATCATTCCTAATTTGTAACACCTGTACTAAAATGCTATACTTGTATAAACCTTCACCTACTTCTGTTAAAGCATTTAATGTTTATAGTCATTACCTTGTGTAAAGTGAAACATTTGCTATAAAGTACTATTTCATTGCTTCTTCCATTGAAGAAACTCAAAGAAGCTTAGATATCCATAAAAACACAAAGAAAAGAAGGAATTAAAGTATAATTGATTTTCAAGGAAAAGATTTATGAGTCCAACGGATCATGTATAGTTCTCAACTATAAATAAGCTCATTTATGAAGAAAAAAAAAGAGGAAATAAAGCAAACAAGAACAAAATTCTGTCATTACTACATTTTCAATTTCTACCAACTTCCAGTGAGACATTAATTGTTTGTGAGCTTCATAGATTACATATCCACTCATAAAGAGAGTTTATAACAATATTAGTTCATTTTTAAACTTACTTTATTTATCCTTTTTTTCATAATCTAAATAGAGAATCTAAAGCTTGGGGAGCTAAAGGGAATTTACTATTACCATTGTAAGGGAGAATCTTTTAGACTTAGTAAGAAGTCTGTGAAAGTACTGAGGCAATAAAGAGCCTAGTTTAATCTTGATAATATAGTTAAAAATTTCAAGAAGTTCTTAGGCACTGGACGTAAGCTCAAGTGGTAGTAGTCAACTTAAGATAAATCATCTGTGCTAGCTCTTCTCTTTCATCTTTTGTATTTAGTGATATCATTTATATACTTCTCTCTTTATTTCTCCAAATTTACTTTAATTTTTATTTAGCCCAATTCACCCCCTCTTAGGGCCGTTTACATCTTGCGTAGAAAGAGAAAAGAAGATATTAATTTTAGAAGGCTTAACTAGTTTTATTCAAACTTCTTAAGGTTCCTTGCAATCACACAAGATATGAATTGAGAAGTCTGGGGAGTTGCAACCATAAGGGCAAATCATTGGACAAGGGTTACTCCCATTAGTGAAGGTATAATTGATTTGGATATGATTCCAAGCAGCTTTCCAAAGATAACATCTAATTTTCTCATATGTTGGCCATTTCTAAATTCTAAACCAAATTTCTAAATTAGCAAAGTTGCATTGACTCTCTATAGCTCCATAGGTAGATCTAATGGTGAAGTTACCATCATTAGAAGGCCTCTAGTAAATAACATCTTCATTACTATAGGGATTAGGAAGTTGTACAAGAGAAATAAGCTTAAGCATATTCTTATGAAGATAATGGCTTAACTAATTGATATTCCACTCCCTTATAATTGTAAAAAAGTCTAAAAAAACTTGAGCATGGAGAGCAGCTTCATCATTTGGATAAGCATAATTAACAATTGGCTTAGGAGGGGGGACCATTTGTCATACCAAAAGGATATTTGGTTCCCTTTACCTACTTTCCTTCCAATGTGCTTCATGAAGTTATCCTAAGCTTTACAGATATTGTTCCAAGTATAGGAAGATGAGCTGGAAGTGCAAACCATAGGAATAGTGGGCTTGTTGTAATTGTATCTGTCATAAAGAATCCTAACCCAATAGTAGTTTGGTTTTGTGATTAAACTCCAACAAAAGCTTTATGATATAAGCAATATTTTGGCTTTTAAGTTTCTTGTAGCTAAGTCCACAAACATTTTTGTCATTAGTGATGCAATCCCAAGATATGATATGAGGTTTCTTGGATCCATCTAAAGAATCCCAGAGGAACTTTCTAGAGATTCTTTCTAAATCAGCTAAAACATTATCTAGTAGAAGTGTAGTCTATATAGTATAGCTTGGGTGAGTAAAGAGAATAGAATTTATGAGAACAAATTTCCTAGCTATATTAAGATAGCAACCCTTCCAATTAGATAAACGAGAATTTGTCTCATGGAGAAGAGGGACAAAATTAGTTGTTCACCATGGTACTTTCTGAAGTTTTTATAGCCAAGTCCACCAACTTTTTTGTCATTAGTTGTTGTGCTTTTTGAATTTGTGCTTTTTAGCTAGTTTCGATGACCATGGTACTCATTATTAATGTCATAAAATTTGAGCCATCTAAAATTAATTTTAAAGATTTAGATTTAAAAATTTTTATCTATAATTTTTCATCTAAAAAATTATTTTTTTTAAGTTACAATCATCATTTGAAAACTAGATTGAATTGGACAGTTGGACTAGTTGGATTATCAACCAAAGCCATTAATGGCTCGGCTTGGAACATAAAACTGTTTTGGTGATTGAGCCGAATTGGACCAGAGTTGAGCTGCTATTTAAATGGAATCAGGAATTGAAGCGGTTTTCAAAAAACTGAATAGTTTTAAATATAATATTAAAAAAAGCTTAAAAATTTTAAAAAACTAGAAAAATTCAAAAATTAGATCCCTATTAAAAGCCAACTTAATTTTTGAACAATTCACATGTATAAAATATTATTTGAGACTTTTTTTTAAAAAAAGATGTTGACAGTTGTAATATAGATACTTGGACAAACTGGCTCACTAGTTGAAAAAATCTCGTGCCCAAAAAATATGGACCAAATTTTTTAAAAAATTTAAAGTATGACCAATTCACATTGATATACAAGAGATTTATCATTGATATACAAAAAATTTAACATTGAAAATTTAAAAATATACATGAAATTTATCATTGATATACAACGATATATCGTTGACAAATATAATAAACCAGTTATAATGTAAAATATAATAAATGCTGAATTGTTTGCTTAGTTTAGTCCTATGACATGTGCTATATTTGCAAAAGCCTCTAGATACTTTTTAATATACTTATATCTAAATTTAACTAAAATCCACCTATATTTTATAAGTTACAAAATTATAATTTATATTATTGTTAATTTATGGTCATATTATGTTATTTTATTAACATATTATAGATTTGTTTCTTATATTTTATTTATATATATTTAATATTATTTTTATTAATTATGATATCACCAATATAATAGCTAATCTAATTGGTTAAATAATAAAAATTGAAAATCATTAATTTTTCAAGTTCAACATCTGATCTGGCTTTTAAAACATTAGTTATAGTCATATGATTATCTTTATTTTTAAACTTTGTACCTATCAAAATAAAAATTTATTAAAAATAAAAATTTATTAATTGTATTTTCTATTCACGGAGTCTTGTGCGATGGGGCGTATGTACTGATATATTTATATAACATATATTTAATCATTTTACCACAAAAGATGGCATATCAAAAGTCAATTGTCAAAACTATTTCAACTTTTGTATGATTTTTTTGTTTTAAAAAAATGAAGAAAATCTGAGAGCAGTTTTCTTTATATATATATATATATATATATTTAAAGCACACTACATAAGTTATTATCATTAACCATTGTTGGCCATTTTTTAAAATTAAAAAGTATTTTCACATTATCATAGTTAAAAATATTTTCATTTTATTTTGATGAATAATTTTAAAAATTAGTTTACAAAGTAGTCTTTTAAAATAAAAATTGAGATCAAAACTAAAGAGGGTTCAATATTTTATTTTATTTTATTTTTTCAATGAATGGGAGGGTAAAATTGACAAAGCCTATTCCACTTCTTCAAGTTAAAAAAATGGGACAGACATCTAAGGTGCCTTAATGCACTTAGGAATCTTCATATAAAAAAAAGCTTCAGTATATGTGGACAAAAGTCATATCCAATCACATTTGCTTGTATGGATTATCTAGCATAGTGGGACAAAAGCTATAAAGTGCATACTATATATATATATATATATATAATGAAATAAAATGGGTATCTGTAAAAATTATTCGCTACTTGTCAATCCAATGACTAAAGTAAGTAGTAAGGAGAAAGAGGTGTATAATATGTGTTTCATCCGCTCTCTCTCTGTTTTTTTCTTTTTTTTTTCCTTTAACTATCTTCTCCTATCACTAAAATTAACAACAACAATGAAAGCACCTTAATAGATTAGAAAAAGAAACCTAGTATAAGACAAGAGTTGGTTTTGAATAGGACTCGATAGTGTCGTGCAATCTGTCTATGTAGCTGACTCTACTTAGTAAAAATAAGACTTATTGCTGATATTATTGTATCTATTGATTGGTGCAATCTGTGGGCTTGAAGGACACAACCTTGTTGTCGAGATCAAAGCCAATCAAGAGATTAGACTGAGCGAAATTCCCAAATATGAAGAGTCCATCACTAGAAGGAGCCATGGCAAAGCAAAAGACTCCGTCTTTTGGAGGGATGAAGGTTTGAATAGGCATCAATGGAACATTTGCATCAGTATCAAAATGAGCAGTGATTATTGGCCCTTCAACATTTGTATCAGACTTGTAACAAAGTTGTGACCCCAGATCTGGATCATCCTCAATGGGTACCAAATTGCTTTGTCCCTTCAATTCTTGAACCAATTGGTCATAAAAATCTTGAGGCAAGTATGTTGCTGGTGTGCCTGAATCAATTATTATGTTCAATTGAGATGATTCAGATTCTGGTGTGTTGAATGGCACAAAAGTGTCACCAATACTTATGCCATTTAGTGCTACTTTGTATGAAGTTTCGCCATCTTGAGATATCAATGGGGTTGTCACCACTCCTTCTCCAGTAACTTCACTGTCTTCTCCAAATGTTAGTGTTCCTGTAAATTTGAAATATGTATTCATTATTTAATGTTAGGAGTTTTTTAAAATGTGGGTAGAATGAGGGTAATGTTTTTATTGAAGAATATTAGAATTCTCACATTTTTCTAAAATTTTTATGATATGTTTAAACAAATGAGGGAAAAAATAAATGAAATAATTAAGAAAGGAAAAATTATTCTGAAGGACCAAAATTAAAAGTTATTTATATTAAAATGACTGTAGATTTCTTGACTTTATTTATGGAAATGACATTAAAAAAAATTGGTACTTCAACATAACTTTCCCATTAAAATATATGTTGTACTCTTTTATGACTTGTGAACAATTTTTTGAAAATAAATGATGTTCTTATAACTTGTTAATGGTATTTTTTTTAAAAAAAATTATGTTTTATATGTTGATTATATTTCTCATATAGTTTATTAGGAAAATACTAATTTATAAAAAATAAAAATTTATAGTACTAAATAGAATATATTGGGAAAATGAAATTTAAGCATCTTCTTAAAACGTGATAATGCTAAAAATTTTCATGAGTTAAAATTTTCAGCTCTCATTTTCCATATTTTCAATACTAAAATTAATCAAAGATAAATATTTTGCGACTAAAATGAAAAAAAGAATTTGTGTGTGTGTGTATTAAATTATTTATATTTTAGATAAGGGTAGTAACGTATTAAAAAAAGTTGGTTGTATGGAACCGGGAATCCCAATGTGTACATACATAGAGCTCAGGCCCAAAAAAAAAAAAAAAGCAATGTGCATACATAGAGCCGAAAGGTGGCCGAAAAAATAAAAGAAAACGGAAAAGTAGAATAAAGCAAGGGTCAAGGGCTAAGCCTAACTTGTGGTCTTCTGAAGTCCAAACGGACCCGTAACTTCCGCCTCCCATATTCTACTCATTCGTCGCAAGAGACAAATGGTAGTAAGAAAAAAGAATTGCACATAATCTTATTTAATTCCCAAAAACAAAGTAGTTAAACATCAAATTTTTTGATCAAAAAATAAATTAAAAATTTATAAAATTTTGTAAGAAGAAACGAAATATCAATATTAATATTAATACATATAATTCAAAAATAATGAAAGTTAATTGGTAATAGATAAAAAAATTATTTTTTATATGTTCAGTATTTTATAACACTTTTAATTCAATTACATATATTGTTCAATGAGTTAATTAATTAAATTTAAAAATATACGTCCTATATATATTTATCTTTATTTAATATAGTATCTCAATTTAAAAAATATTATTAGTTACATTTCTAAATAAGAATATTTTTGAAAAAAAATTAGTAATTGCACATTGAAAGCTCTAAAATACTCTATATTTTTTAACTCAATATTTTGAAAAAATTCATTATAATATTAAATAGAGCAGTATAATGTTTCATTATACAAAATTAAAAATGTATAAATATGATCCACAACTGCATATATGCATGGCTAATTATTGCAATGCAGCTACAATTAAATAAACACTTCTCATACCAAAATTAAAATCACCAAGACTTTGGATGCATGTATAAATATATATATATATATATATATTGACCAGCTACATCTACCAATTCAATAACCGATTTAATTCTATATATATATGGACAAAATTAATTATGATAATTCAAAAGCAAAATTGAGATAATTAGCAAACATTTGATTACCTGCAATATTAGGATCAGTGTGAAAGGGAACCAAGCACTGAGAGAATCGTCGTCTTCCTCCAAAAGTAGCTCCAATCTGTGAAACAAGTGACAGAGGTCCACCACCCAACCCAATAACTCCCATATCATTCTCATTAAACGTCCCTGAATCTTCATGTCCACACCCAAACACAATCTCACTCTCAACACCACCACCATTGTCATCACCACCAAACCTGAATTTCTCTTCTGCTAGAACCCCTTTACTCACCGACGAGTCCGCGTACTCGTAGCTGTACATGCACGAATTCTCCGGCGAAGAACACGATGAGCCGTACATCCAACCGCATGGCTCTGAACCACATGGAATAGGCTTAAAGGTTTGAGATGTTGTGGGGTCAAACATAGGAGCTTTCTGGGGATAACAGTTGTCACAGGGGAGGCATTGTGTCCAGATAAGGTCACTTCCGGTGTCAGCTAAGCCGTAGAGGTCGACCGGAGGGGTTCCGAGGGAGAGTTTCATGAGGTAGTCGCCATTGTTGGATGTGACTTTGGAGGAAGGATTGGTGAGGAAGGAAGTGAAGAAAGAGGAGAAAGAAGAAGAAGAAGAAGGTGAGCTTCTTCTGCGAATTAATTGGATTGTGAAGGAGCTGTTATTGGCGGTGCCTTCAATGAGTGTTTGGAAGAAGATAAGGATGAGAAAAAGAAATAAGTGAAATGTGTGGAAGCTGAGAATGTTGGCCATGGAGATTTCTTTCTCTGTAAGTGTGTGAAGTCTGTGAAGAAAATGAATGAATGTGCATCTCATATTTATACTTGAACAAATGCAGCATGTGACAACCCAGGACTCAAATCGTGAATTAGAAGAATACATGATATTGGCTCGATCCAATTAATAAAGCTGAAAGAGATGGAATGTTTTTATTTATTTATTTATAAGATATGTTATTAACTTTTCGTCATAATTTTCCTCTTTTATCTTGTTAAATATTAGCGAGAAAAATAATATCATTAAAATACATACATTTAATAAAAATAAATTCAGAAATTTATTAAATTTTTTGAGAGTATTTTTTGAGCTAATTTTTTTTTGAGAGAATTAATAAATTTTAATTTTTTTTATTTTGAACGAACCATAATATTAGATGAAATTTACTCAGTATATTAAAAAACTATAAGACATTTTTTATGTTAGATCTTTAAAAATATAATGTATATTTAGTTTTCAATATGTAATGAATAGGTTTTTATCCAAAAATACTCTTAATAAATAAATTAATCAATAATTAATTTTTAAGTGTGAATATGAAAAGATGATGTTAATTTAAAAATAATTAGCTAACTTATTGAAAATATAATATTTTAAAAATAACTTATATTTTTGAATGGGGAGGGTCAAGGGTGTAAAATGTTTCAATGCATGAGATAAATTATTGCATAACTATATTACCAAATTTTAGGTCCCCTGCATTTGACGGTTTCAACGTTTTGAAAATAATTCATCGTAATTTGGTACAATCCAGGAGACATATTTCTTTTAAATTAAAATAATTGAAATTGTAATTTGAATGAAAAGTAATTTGAATCAGAATTGAGTAAATCGACAACTCCTCCAAAATATGAGACATTTTCTAATGGCCGGTATATTAACCCAAAATGGAAGACACTTAAAAAAAATTAATTAATAACATTAAATTATTCTATTCCAAAAATGTTCCTATTAATTGTATTGTATATATTAGAATGAGATAAAGGTAATTAAAAATAAAATTATTTCAATTGGAGAGTAATCTTAAAAAATAGTGATAATTTTATATCATTTTAATATACAAACTACTTAGTTGTAGTAGTAGTAATAATAATAATTATTAATGATTAATATTTGAAATTTAGGTAGGCAGTAGGTGAACTTTTGTCTCTTTATACAACAAATTGGAGCATGTGAGAGAGAAGAATGGGAGAGGTTATTCACACGATAAAATCAGATGACATCATAACCGTTGAAATATATTTAACTGTGAATGCCTAACTAGATCCGATGCTCCATACTTCCATTGATGAATTCATTAATCAATGAAAAGGATTTATTCCCCCCTCCCCCAACATTATCAAAAAGGGCGAAATAAAATTGAACCATAATTAATATGCTATATTATTATGAACAAAAAAAATTAAATTATTTATAAATAATAAACGATACGTTCTACTTCGTAAACTAGGGTCTAGGGATAATTTAATAAATAAAACATTCATAATAAGTTGTAATATTTTCAAGTCCCATGCAAAAACTGTTTCTCCACTTAAATGAGTAATTTTGAATAGTTCACATTAATTTTTTTCTACAAAAGTATTATTTAATTTTTTAATTATAGAATTAGCAGGAAGTTGTATACCCATAAATAATATGGATGGTTTATATTTGGCTCGATGCAATTTTTCAATTTTTCAGTTATATATATACCAATGGGGTTTGGTCTGACGGATGATGTTAATCTTTAAAAACATGACAAATCAAAGTTTACATTCTTACTAAAAGATGTACTTATATTTAATATCTGATCATGCCTTGAATATGATTGCCATTAATAAGAATATATGCAGTCAATAATATTTTTATATAAGATTATAAATAAGTACATAATAATATTAATTATATTGTATATAAATATTATATATAGATATTATCTTTCTAATATGTTTTTACATATTTCAGTATTGTGTGCAAAAATAAATGGACAATGGATGGGAAGCAAAAGAGCTTAATTGAAGTCTACAAAATTGAACATTCAAAGATTTGAAAATCTATTAAAGAAGAAGAACCTCGAAATTTCCAAACATATATGTTAATACAAGAATGAGTTACGCATTTAAATTCCTATGCTGTGATTGCGGTCTCTCATCGAATTATAATTACAATTTCTGATGTGCCTTTTTCCAGCAAATTCAGGTAAATTCAATTATGCAACACAGTAATATGAGAAATTCTATTTTGAAATATGGAACTTTGTTAGACTTTTGGAATCCATGTTCATTTAATATTATAAATAATGTTTTAAAAAACCGACAGAAGAGAAACAGGAATGGTTAACGGGTCATGAGTTTTATGGTTTAATGAGAGAATGATAAAGAGATTTTAAAAGGATCAATTAATTTAAGTTAGATTTCAAATGTCAACAACAACAACAACAACAACAACAAGCCTTTATTCCACTAGGTGGGGTCGGCTACATGGATTGTAAGACGCCATTGTGCTCTATCATTTATCAAACTTTTAGGAATATTATTAATTAAGAGATCGCGTTCAACAACTTGCAAGAGTGTTCTCTTAGGCCTTTCTCTACCCCTCTTAATCGGACTCAAAGTTATATATTCCACTCTTCTCAATCTTCTTTGTATATGCTCAAACCATCTCAATCGATTTTCTACCATTTTTTCTTCAATAGGTGCTACCCTCACTTTTTCGCATACGTGCTCATTTTGAATTTTATCTTTACGTGTATGTCCGCACATCTATCGTAATATTCTCGTCTCTGCTACTCCAACTTTATGCTCTTGTTATCCTGTTAGAGCCCAGCATTCACTATTATATAACATTGCCGGTCTGATAGCAGTGCGATAAAACTTTCCTTTAAGTTTATTAGGCACCTTAAGGTCGCAAATAACTCCTTTAACTTTTCTCCAATTAAACAACCCAACTTGAATCCTATGTAAAATATCTCAACTGATTTCGCCATCATTTTGAATAATGGCTCACAAATATCTAAACTTTTTCACTTGAGGTATAATTTGATCTCCCAATTTCACTTCTAAATTATTGTCGAATAGTCTCTTACCAAATTTACAATATAAATATTCCGTCTTACTCCTACTCGGACGGAAACCTTTCGACTCTAATGTCCTCCTCCATAACTCAAGTTTGCAACTAACCTCTTCTCTTGTCTCTGCTATAAGAACTATATCATCCGTGAAGAGCATACATTTGGGAATTTCCTCTTGAATATGTTTCGTCAAAACATTTAGGATCAAGTTGAACAGATAAGGACTCAGAGATGATCCCTGATGTAGTCCAATTTTTATAGAAAAATCTTTTGTTTGACCACTAGGCGTTCTTATACTAGTTTTTACCCCCTCATACATATCTTGTATGGCTTTAATATAAACAATTTGTACTCTCTTTTTTTCCAACGCTTTCCAAAGCACTTCTCTTGGTATACGGTCATAAGCTTTTTCTAAATCAATAAAAACCATGTGTAAATCTTTATCTTTTTTAAATGTCAAATTTTAAAAATTTATAACTCAACTTCCTCAATTTTGCAACTGAGTTGCGATGAATTTACAATTTTTTTCAAAATTTTAATATGATTAAAGAGTAAAAAATTTATTTTTCTCGTTAAAATTTAAAATACAAATTAAAAATTCATCACAATGAAGTGTGTAACTTAAATTAATTGATTATTTTAAAACCTCTCTTTCATTCTCCCATGGTTTAGTTGATTAAAATGATAATCAAATTGATAATATAATAATAAATAAATAATATTTATATGTGCATGCGCGCACGCGCGCGCACACACACATATATATAAGACATTAAAAATACTGATAATATCAATATTAGTTTAGGATTGTTCAACCATAACATATTAAGTTTTGTTTTGGCAACCAAAAAAAAACATATTAAGTTTTGGTTTTCTCACTTTTTATATGATATATTTTTTTACTTACCTTATTCTTCTTTTAAAGCAAATAACTTTTAAGTATTTTTATAGTTTAATTCATATAATGTCAATAAATAAATCATGCAATTAAAATTTTATTATAACAACCTAGAAGAAAGTTGACGTTAATATTTTTAAATTGAATAAAAAAATTTATTATTAAATTAGAGTAAAAAGGAAAAATATTCAAAACCGCTTGGTGTAAAATGGTCCAATCCTCAAAAACGCTTTTATATATGAATCGCAGTCCAACTGGTCTGACCATTTGAGTTGGTTTGGATTTTAAAATACTATAAAACCTTTATTTTTAGTAAAGTATTTTATATTTTATGACGTTGAATCTCCCTCCAAAAGTGTCTTATAAATTTGGGTGGAGGGAGTAGAAGATAAGTAAAATAGAGAGGAAGTTTATGTTATGCAACTTCTTTTTTTTCTTTTTAAGCAAATAGAGTTTAGATGAGTTGGGTCCTTAAAACTCACTAGGATTAAAACATGCCTCCAAGCTCAAAAAAGCTACAAAGGTATTTACAGATCATCTACTAACAAAATTATCATATTAGTAGTGACATTTGAACCCACAAACAAAATTACCATATTAGTAGTGACATTTGAAACCCACAACATTGTGGGTAGTGGCAGAAATAGGACTTGAAGCTAGGAGGTACAAGATAATTTAATTTAAAAATTAATATTCTTTTAAATAATAATTATACTAGAAGTAAAATTGTAACGACATAAGTAGATTCATAATCATTTTTCTTTTCAAAATTTTTTATTGGATATGTAATATGATCTTTTATATAAATGTGCTCTTTAAATTTTATCTTGATCAATAAAATATTATATGTCTAATTAGATTTTGAGTTCACTATTTTTTTATTTAGTTTAAAGAATGCAAAATATCATGAATAGGGCGTGCAAAGATGCAAAATTTACATGCTCTATTTATAATTTTTCTCAAACGAAGGGTGCATTTGCCTAGCTAGCCTCATTTATATAGATTATGGATCAAATTCTTATAACTTGGATCCATGTTTGTTGATTACATAATGCAA